TACCTCCGGGGGAATGGACACACTTGAAGCTCGGACTTGCGGGGGAGGGAGGGTAAGGGCATCATATGTAACCTAATTATCTGTACCCCCATAACATGCTGAAATAAAAAAAAAAAGAAAGAAAGAAAAAAAAAGAGAGATCCGTCGTCTCCCTATTTTCTTAGCATTCTAAATCCAGGGCTGCACAGCCTCACTTCTGAAAACTCCAAACAGAAGTTAGAATTGATATGAAATATATCTTCTCGGTAGCAGAATTTGGATTCTAAAAGTCCACATATGCAGGTTAAATACTTCATAGATATTAAAAAAGTAGGCATATCCCTATTAAAAATGTGAAATTTTAATAAGAAAAGTATTTAGATATGAAGTCCTAAGTCCTGATTGTTGTCTACCTTTATTAAGGACCTCACCATGAAGTGTAACGAGGAGGAGAAATCTCTTAGCCCCGAGGCTTTTTCCAAGGTTTCGCTGACCAATCTGCGTCGGTCTGCAGTCCCAGATCTTTCTTCAGACCTGGGCATGAACATTTTTAAGAAGGTAAGTAGAATTGCTGATGCTTTTGATATTTTGGTAATTTTAAAAAGTCAGTGGGGCATGAGGTGTTTCTGGGTCATATCATAGTGTTGAGTGGAGTGGGAAACGGACCTCAGCTCCTGGCTGTAACACTGGCTTGCAGCGTGGCCTTGTGCAAGGCCCTCTGTGAGTATGAGTATGCTTCCTAGTCTCAATGTTCCTCAGAGTTGTCAAAAAGGTCAATCTTGATGCTGTTTGTAAAGCACTTGGCGTCGTGTGGTGGGGAGGTAGCCATGGTAGCAGTGATGGTAACTTACCTTCTTAGGGGTCAAGTCATTTTGTCAAGTACTGTATATAAATAGTTCTCATTAAAATCAATGAGATTTTTATTCTCCACACTTTGCAGATAATAAAATGACCCTGAGAAACTTTAGGAAGTTTGCCAAAGATTGAGCCCAGACTCAAAAGTAGGTCTTCTAGCTAAATAGTGAACTCTTTTGAATCCACCACTCCACTTTTCTCTTCTGTAAGTGTATGGAGATAATCAAATAGAAAATAATATGTGTAGACTAATATATATGTAGTGTTTTTTCTCTTTTTCAAAATTATTAGTTTAATTATATCAAAGAAGAACACAGAACATATTAACTTATCTATGAGCTCATAGTGTTGCTAAGTAAGCAGCTAGGTCTGCCTTCATTGAGAATACAACAATAGGCAATGGCCATAGTTTTTCTGAAAACATTGATCATTTGAGGGGGAAAAAAGAGGTTTTCAATACTGGCTGCAATAAGAATTTTTAAGAAGCCTTTAAAAATATAAGTTTCTAGGCCTGATCCCAGACGAATTAAATCAGAATTGCTGAAGTTTAGGCCCATGCATTGGTATATTTTGAAAGCTTCCCAAACAGTTCTAAACTCTTAGTCACACTTGATGTTGAGCTTGTTTGACTGGTAGGAATAATGGGTTTGTACCAGTGTATCTTTTCTGACTCTTCTTGTGAGCAGTGGCGTACATTTGCAGTTGGCTGACTGAAGCAATGAATCTCAATCTTGAAAAACAGAGTGGAAAGAGATAGGCTGATCTAAGTGGTGACTCAGGGATTCTTATACCCTAACCCAGTGGTTTGCAAACTTTAGTGTGCATCAGTATTACCTACCATGCTTGTTAAAACACACATCACCTTCTGAGGATCTGATGCAATATGTCTGAAAATTTGCATTTTTAACAAGTTCCCAAGTGATGCTAATGCTGCTGGTCCAGGGACCACACTTTGAGAACCACTCTTCTCACCCAACCCTGGAGAAAGACCCATGGAATATATAACCTTCTGCTTAGTTTCTTTTGCTTTTTTAACATGTGGAAATTTCTCCCATTTCTACTGGATGATATTCAGTGACTTTCTGGGTTTCCTCTTCCGGGAACATTTCCTGTATTTTACTGTAGATCATGGAGCCCCTTGGGAAGCAAACGATAACCTTTCTTTTGCTTTGTGCCTATTCCTTCATCTCTCATCACTGTAGTTCAAGAGCCGCAAAGAAGACCGAGAGAGGAAAGGCTCCATTCCATTCCACCACACAGGGAAGAGGAGACCTCGGAGAATGGGAGTACCATTCCTGCTCCATGAGGACCACCTGGATGTGTCCCCCACCCGCAGTGCATTCTCCTTTGGAAGTTTCTCTGGGCTTGGAGAAGACAGGCGAAGCATTGAAAAAGGAGGCTGGCAAACCACCATTTTAGGTGATCACAAAGTCCTTCCAAAGTAGGGCAGAGCTTGGGTGACCTGTTTAGGACTGGGATCTAGGGCTCCTGGCAAACCTGGATCTTCCTCGAGCAGTTCAGTAAAGAAATTTTGGCCCAATTACAGGTTCCCCAATACCAAAATAATGCTGTGTCTTCACAGCCAAAGAAATGCAGATAATTGAATTAATTTTGCAAGCATTCTGTATAATTAGATAGGTGACTGTCCTATTTCTTAGGTCACTCTAGAGGTAGAAATATGGCGTTAGAGGGCTCTGTGTGTTAACTTTCTTTGTGACTCTAAAGACAGACTTTTATTTAACTCTGATATTTTAAAAAAAAAAGGAAAAAGCAAAGCAAAGAAAAAAATATCTTTTTTTCTTTCTGGATGGCATATTAAGAAGGCCAGCTTAAAATCAGGAGCTGACAGCTACCTGGGCCACAACAGATGGTTTCTGACATTTGGTTTAGATCGGGGCTGACCTTATCACAGGCAGCTTCATCAATCATCCTGACCCGAATATCCCCAAGGCAAGTTCAATTCTTGCCATTTTGTCTTTGCCTCATGCTCTTCCTAATATCCCCTCACTCTCGTTTCTGTCCTTGGGAAAGGCAAAATCTGAGCAATCTTTCCAATCTGAAAACCCTCTCATGGGTGCTCTTGTTTATTCCAGGGAAATTGACCCGGCGGGGCAGTTCGGATGCAGCTACTGAGATGGAGAGTTTGAGCGCCAGGCACTCCCACTCCCATCACACTCTGGTGAGCGACCTGCCGGACCACTCCAACAGCCATGGAGAAAACACCGTCAAGGAAGGTAGGTAGGAGGTGAGGCCTGCAGGCAGGAGTTCGGGTTTCTTTTTCTGTTGTTTTGTTTCCTGTTCTTACTCCATGTTCTATTTCCATTATAATCTGCTCCCTTATGTTTTTTGAAAACTTGCATTATTGTATTATATTGCTTGGTAATGTACTCGTTAACCATTCTTAGCACATCCTTCGTAGCAACAGCTATTTGACATCACACTATAAATACCATACCTCTCAGAGGAAGAGCAAGGACAAGCCATTCAGATTTGTTTTCAGAAGGTCATAGAGCCACAGGGCTAAGAGGGATGTTGGAAGACATGCAGATTCCATGCTTCAATCCCCTCTATGAGATCCCTCTGAACAGCTTGTACACCTTCAACAGGAGGAAAGTCACTGCTTTCCAAGGCCACCGATTTTTTTCGGGCAGTTTCTATTTCAGATAAGTGCCTTATGTGCTTTATGTGGAGCAAACACGTGTCTCTGAATAGAATCCAAGACAGGCTCTCATTTTGATCTTTTAACAGAATAATGATTCTATTTCTTATTCTTATGCCCTCATAGAAGCATAAATTTAATCCCTCTCTTCCCTGAACTTTATTTCAAATATTCAACAACATCTATGAGCTACCACAACAAATTTATGTTCCATTACTTTTAACCAAAAGAGACAGAAATTATTCTTATTTGTTGTTCCATAATTCAGTAGATAAAAACAAATATTATAGATAAATAGTTTATATCAATATGATCTGTCATAAACCGGTGGGTAAAATCTTCCTATGATGATCAACTAAACTAAGTCGATGTTAGACAAAAGTTAAATCCTAACCTCAGCCTTAAGGAAGCCAGTTGGAATTCACATTCTTCTATAACCTGCAGTATTTACCACATATTATATGGCCTTAATGGCTTTTGTGTTTTTCATGGGAGTTGAGAATAGCTTTGAGATTATAAATCAAATATTTACAAAAGCTACAGCTCTGATTGTGACCATGATTTAAATAATAGCATAATTGTCTGATGTTGCAGATTAATATAGGGAAAACTAAGACGTTGCTTTCACTTTATTAGTGCGATCCCAGATCTCCACTATCACAGTTGCAACCTTCAATACCACGTTAGCGTCATTCAACGTGGGCTATGCAGACTTTTTCAGTGAGCACATGAGGAAGCTCTGTAACCAGGTGCCTATCCCAGAGATGCCACACGAACCCCTGGCATGTGCAAACCTGCCCCGAAGCCTCACAGACTCCTGCATAAACTACAGCTACTTGGAGGACACAGAACATATTGATGGGACCAATAACTTTGTCCACAAGAATGGAATGCTTGATCTTTCGGTAAGGAGCAAGAATTTTTCTTACCAAAGTTTGAAAGATATTGACTCTTTGGTCCAATTTTTACAACGTTGGGTAAAATAGGCATATAGATTCCTAGAAATATTGAACCCTAAAGTGAAAAAGCTACTCATACAAAAAATTTCACAAGTGTGTCAACCAGCATAGATACACCTTTCCTTTTTTTTTTTTTCAGGCATTGCATTAGATTTGATCTGATCTCAGAATATTTTCATAATACAAAACTACAGTGAATCCCGCATACACGTATATAATTATACATGTGTGTGCTATGTCCCATTTTTCTAGAATGAGCATAAAAAATTCTTCATTTATTTTCTTTTATTGTATAAGCAACAGGACTACAAACCTCCTGTGCAGCCAGAAAAAATGAATAGAACTTCTTAAAAGATTTAAGCTTGCTTTCTCAAGAGTGCCTGTCTTGAGTGTAGTTATTAGCAAATGAAAGGGTTGTTGCATTTTACAATTATATTTCACTAAATTTTTATTACACATTAGGGAACCTGGTGTAGCAAATAATTTAAATATTAAAATCAATAGAGGGACATAATTTAAACATGCAAATATAAATATTTTGTACTTAACTCATTATGCTTCGGTGTTCCCATTCATTGTCTATGTCATGGCAAGTTTTGAAAGAGTTAAGTGAGATAATACATGTATGCATTTTTAATTCTTTGGGTGATTTATAGTCTATATTAAGCACATACACAAGTTTCCAATGCAACCAACATAGGAAAATTTAAAAATTATCTGAATCATTTATGCCCAAGTTCATAGAATAGCCTAAGGAAATGGGTTAAACAGAGTAACGAAATCTATTTAGGAAGAGGGAGAGCAGGTAACTATATCATCCTGTATTTATCTTTGCCTTCCCCAGGTGGTTCTGAAAGCTGTTTATCTTGTCCTTAACCATGACATCAGCTCTCGCATCTGTGATGTGGCACTAAACATTGTGGAATGCTTGCTTCAACTTGGTGTGGTGCCCTGTGTAGAAAAAAATAGAAAGAAGAGTGAAAACAAGGAAAATGAGACTTTGGAAAAAAGACCAAGTGAGGGAACTTTCCAGTTCAAAGGAGTATCTGGAAGTTCCACCTGTGGATTCGGGGGCCCTGCAGTTAGTGGAGCTGGAGATGGTGGAGGAGAAGAAGGAGGAGGTGGAGATGGAGGAGGTGGAGGAGGTGATGGAGGAGGAGGTGGAGGAGGTGGAGGTGGACCTTATGAGAAAAATGATAAGAACCAAGAGAAGGTATGATTGAACCACTTTTTGTGTCTTCATGAAATGTTGCTCCTAATATCTTTCCAATGCTTGTTTGCCAGCAATTTATTGACAGAGAACAGCAACTAGTCACTATGGCAAGAAAGTGGTGAGTGTAGAAATCTCTTGTAGGTTCTCAGAGGCATTAGTAGAAACAGTTAGATGGAACGGGTATTCTAAAGCCAAGAACCATTGCCATCCAAGCGATGTTAGAGCTAATTCTCTGATCATGTTATTTCAGCAGGAGAACATTTCAGATATACTTTGTTGCCATAATTCTGTCTGACACCAAGAATAGCTTCTTTCTCAAGACTTTCAGAGTCTGAGCTGCGTAGTGTCTTAGTGTACTTAGACTGCCATAACAAAATACCATAGGCTGAGTGGCTTAAACAACAGAAATTATTTCTCACAGTTCAGAAGGCTGGGAAGTCTAAGGTCAAGATGTTGGCAGGTTTGGTTTTATTCTCTTGGCGTGTAGGTGACTACCATCTCAGTATGAGCTCACATGACCTCTTATTTGTGCATACACAGAGAGAGAAAAAGCATGCTTTCTTGTGTCTTTTATTATTCCTATTGGTCCAGGGCCCCACCATCATGACCTCATTTAACTCTATTTACCTACTAAAGACCCATTCCAAATATCATCAGATTAAGGGTTAGGGTTTCAACATATAAATTTGGGGAGAACACAAGTATTCAGTCTATAACAAGCAATATAATTTTTCCTCTATATAAAGTTCCTTCTCTTAATTTATGTAACACATTTTTGACAGCCAACTTCAACCACTGTTAAGGAGAAAGCAAGGGAAGAATTTTGATTGATTAGTTGATTGATTTATATGGTGTTGGTTTAAAGTGGAAACAA